CCCCCCAACCTCGGCTGCGCGTCCCCCTCGGCCCCGGCGCTCCCCAGCTCGCAGCCCCGTTGCTCAGGAGCAGGCAGGCTGGGGCACAGCGGCGGCCTGGCTCGCTCTCCTCTTCTTTTCTCGGGGCTGCAAGGGTTTCTCTTCCGTCGAGATCCCAGCTCTGATGGGTATGGAAAGGCTCGGCATGTTTGCTTGCCCCAAATCTTCCCTGATTTTAGGGAGGCCTGACTGTGATCCTCACACCCCTCTTGTGCTCTCACAGACCCTCAGCCGCAGCTTTGTCGCTCTTCAGCGCAACAGTCGTAGTATAATTTTACTCTGTGCCCGCAGGTGGCTGTTTAAAAGCGGGTGTCTCACAGACTTCGGCCGTGTCTGAGCTTTGCCTGTAGGGCACGTTTGGTTTGCTTTTTCGGAAGGGTTGGTGCCCTCTCAGAGCAGTGAGAAGCCCTTGCTTGCTGTGGCCTCAGATACCCTCTACGCTGCCTCCAGCAGAGTTTATTGTCGGGGAGGTGTAATCACTTACATTGTGCTCGTCTACCCCATCCTCTCTGAAAGCATCTTTTAGCAGTTGCCGCCAGTACAGTCCCAGAGAGTATACTGGAGACAGCCGGGTGAATTCCAGTTACACTGCGGGAGGTGGAAAGTAGTTGGACTGTGTGAAGGCAGAGGAGTTTTGAGGGGGCTGTAAGTTTTGCTCTGGGCCTTTTTGCATGATGGTAGCTTGCTGGGCTGTGTGAGGAGTTAGCTCACAGGCCGTTGGGATGGGAGTAACGGTCTGCTGTGGATTCTCTCTTCAGCCAACACCCGTTATCCTGCTGAAGGAGGGGACGGACACTTCGCAGGGCATCCCCCAGCTCGTCAGCAACATCAATGCCTGCCAGGTTATTGCTGAGGCTGTGCGCACTACCCTGGGACCTCGGGGCATGGACAAGCTCATTGTGGATGACCAGGGTAAGCGCTGGGCTGTGGCCTCTTGCAGTTGTGTGGAAAAGTGACTTGGGAAGAACCCCCAAGTGGTTTGCATGCTGTCGGCCTATCTTTGTATCCATTAAAACCCGCATTTGCATCTAAGCAGGCTTCAACTTCCTCACCCTGTGCTAAGCTCTCACAGTAGAGAGAGTTTAGTTCAGTTTGTGTCTCTCTGTTTGGTTTAACACCTTGATTCTCGCTTCCACGGCTGCTGAGAAGAAAATTATCAGACCTACCTGAGAAACTACTTGTTTGCTGCTTACTAGCCTGAGTTAAGACAGCTGTGTCTCCGCTGTGAAATTAGGTAGATCCAGGCTTGGTGGGACTAGAGATGAGAAAGTCCATGCCAGAAAGGAGAAACGGTGTCTTGAACCTGACCTTCAGGCATCCTTCACCATCTCTATTTTTTAAATGAGGCTCATAATACGTGTGGGGTTACTCAGCACTTGTGGCTGAGCGTGAGGTCAGTGGATGTTATTGGGTTGATTTTTTTTTTTTTTTTTTTTTTTTTTAAATGGGATTTAGGGGTGAGACTCACCTCCCTTGGAAAAGACTTGTATGAAGTCACCAAACTAATTTATTGTTTGTGGCTTTTTATTTCTGTTACCGAAGGGTGGAGTGGAAGGTCTTAGAATTGTATTTAAATACAAATAGGAACTGTAATAACGCTATTAAAAAGGGTAATTGCATTTAAATTTACCTAATAACTAATATGATTGATTTAGTCTCACTTTGTGTGTGTGTGTCAGATTAGAACATCTGTTTTTGTCTGTCTGGGGAGGCTATTGAGAACTAAGGGGGAAATGAATGTAAAGCCTCTATTAATTGATGTGGAGAGTTGTTCTGCAATCAAATGAGCTTCACTTAATCTGCTCCAAAAATGGACTAAAAAGCTGCTGTTAATATGGAATGGAGGTACCTGCTGAGACACCCGCTGTGAAACAGCTGTTCTGGGCTCCCCCTCTCCGTGGGGGGTGACCCCTTTTGCCCATTTATAGCTGGGTATCTGTAGGAGTGGATTAAAACATTGTGGTGATCACATTTCAAATCACACAGGAGGCAAAATACCAGTCACTTTGCAGAAGAAAAATGACTTTTAAGTGGAAATTTAGAACGAGAGCCTGTTGTTGTTTAGACATAACAAAATTCACAGTGGTGCAGGGCTTGAGTGGGAAACGCTATGGTGTAATAACAGGTTGGGGCCACGTTTGACCTGAAAGGCGAAATGGGGAAGCACAGTGAGACTGGCTGCTCTGAAATTATCATTGAATTTACATCTTTCTGAGGTCTGAAAAGCTCCCTTGCGCGGTGGGTGCCCTTTCACAGGGACAAGGGGCTTTACTCGCAGCAGCCAAGCTCGATTTCCTTTTCTACATCACTCCTAGGCAAAGCCACTATCTCCAACGACGGTGCCACCATCCTGAAGCTCCTCGATGTTGTCCATCCGGCTGCGAAGACGTTGGTGGACATTGCCAAATCTCAAGATGCAGAGGTAGGGGGGTAGCCTGGCTGCACCCACCCCGTAACACGCTCTGTGCTTTGTGTTAGCTGTTGGGAATTGCTCATGGAATGCTGGTGTTTATTCCCTTTCCTTTATTGATGCTTTCTCTTCTGTGATAACTTTCAAATCTTTTACACTGTTTTCAGCCACATCTGGTGGGTGATTTGGAAATTTGAAAGATCTTAAAGTTCACATTTCCTGAATGTGGGTGACTGGGAGATGAGACTTCACCCTCAGATGGGATGTAGTCTGAACCCAGCCTTTCTGAATCAACACAAAAGAATCCAACTGAAAACCTGTGAGCAGAGAAAATTTATGAAATTTGACTTCTTCTGGAAGCCCTTGCATGGTTTTGAGGGAGCTTTCACAGTGACTCTGCAGCATGGGGATGACACAGTGTTTCTCCTCCGTGCAGGTTGGTGATGGTACCACGTCCGTCACTCTGCTCGCTGCTGAGTTCCTGAAACAAGTGAAGCCCTACGTGGAGGAAGGCCTCCATCCTCAAATCATCATCCGTGCCTTCCGCACAGCGACGCAGCTGGTAAGGCAGAGCTGAGGGGTGTTCTGGGCTCCACCACAGCGTCTGGGGAGAGGAGCTCTGTGCCAAAGAGGGAAAATGACACACTTTTAGGCAAAATTCAGTAATGAATGGGCGGGGGGAGTGACAGTAGTGATCTCATGATGTCTTACTGCAAACACCAGCTGCCACTGAGCTGTTATTACCAGTTAGTACCTCTGGAGTGCTATCACTTCCTTTGTTTTTTTCCAAGGAAGAATGAATAAATGGGAAAATTCATTTCCCATCCTCCTGATCTCTACTGCTCCTTAATAAACCTTATGTCTCGTGAAGCCCATCAGTGCCATTAAGCTGAATCTTTTTGGAGGTTAACTCCCTCAGTAGCCCTTTGGTTCCCCATCTCTCTGCTGAAAGCAGTGGAGCACCTCTGGGCCTCTTCCCAATCCTCTTAAACTTATGTTGGTGTGTTTCCTAGAATTACTGTGCTGGAAGGGGTGGAATAGCTTAAACGCTTGAAACTTCAGCGATGCTGAAGTAGGGAATAAAAGACAACATAAAATACAAAGAAGTTGGAGATGTGATCAGCTTACGAGCATGAATCATTAATCCAGCTGTTGGCTTGTATTTTGACAGGCTGTAAACAAGATCAGAGATATTGCTGTTGCAGTGAAGAAGGAAGATAAAGAGTAAGTTTCCCTTCCAGATTGTCTTGTTTTGTATCTGGTGTGAGGGCGTTTCTGACTTCTGCTGTGGCTCTGGCTGATGTCTCGAGGTTGAGCTCAACACCTGTGGCCCCACACTGGGGTTATTCTCGATTTTTGGTTGGGGTTTTGGTTTTTTTTTTTGTTTGTTTGTTTGTTTGGTTTTTGAATTTCCTGCTCCTCTGGGTGAGGTGCCGTGCTCTCACTTGGGCTGCAGTAAAGGATGTCAGCCAGTGTCTTCCAGTGCACGTGGAGGAAGTTTGGTACTAAAATAAGCGGCCTGATTTCTGTTTTCCAGCGGTGGTGGAGATTTGCTGCTTTTGCTGCAATCAGTGGCAGTGTTAAATTTCTCTGAAAATCAGACCACATTTTAACTGATGAATACATGAAGTTAGATAGCTAATAGCAGTAAGGAAATGATCCCTTCGACTGAGGTGAGAATACTAGATTAATATTTTCCCTTTTATTTCTTAAACCAAATGAGTTGTATCCTTTTTGCTCTACTGTGATGCGAAATCCAGTAGTTCTCATGGTCAGCAGTAACTTGGGAGTTGGATCCCTATTTCCCTGGTGTCCTTTGTATTATCCACTCTTAGGGCAACATAGTTACCTGAGTTAATATTTTAGAGAATGTGCCACTGTTTCAGAAATTTCTTACTGCCTTTGGATGGAGGAGAGGATGCTGAGCCCTGCTGTTTTGCTCAGGCCTGTGGTGTCTAACAGCCAACCCGCCTGGTCGGTGCTAGTCTGATGCTCATGCTGTAAAAGGGAGAAGTGTACTTCTGACAGTCTGGGCTTTGCCATGTCTGCCTTTCTTTCCCTGTCAGTGGAAGGGAGCTGATCTTTAACTCTGAGTGGATTAATCGTGCCGTCCATATGTGTTTTCTGAGCTTGTGAAAAGAATTAGTGAGTGAACAAAACCTTGTTTCTTCTTTTCCTGGCAGCGAGCAGAGAAGCCTGCTGGAGAAGTGTGCAGCCACAGCCCTGAGCTCCAAGCTGATCTCCCAGAGCAAGGAGTTTTTCTCCAAGATGGTCGTAGATGCTGTCATGATGTTGGACGACTTGTTACAACTCAAAATGATTGGAATCAAGAAGGTGCAGGGAGGTGCTTTGGAAGTAAGTTCTGTTGGAGCCTGTCGTGAAAGGGTAGGAGACACTCATCACAGCTCCTTTGATGGGTTGACTCCAGCAGAAATGCACCTGGCTTGACAGTGTCTGTTAAAGAGTTACTAAAGCAAAACAAAGCTGTTGATGTG